TCTGTGTTTCCTGTTGTTGCAATAAAACTCAGCTGATCATCTCACGGAGTRCCTTCATTCTTGGACCACGTATTTCTCTTTGTTAAATAAATATTACCATAACACCTTACTTAACTCCTGACAGAGAAACAGAAAAGTGATGCTTGAACAWAAAGTACCATTTTTTATCTCCTTCAATTAGTACTCACTGTAAAGTGCGAGCTATGAGGGCTGGAAACCCTTTCCAGTGAGAACCACAGAGTCAAATAACTTTGGAGCACAGGAACTCATCTCCATTTATTCAAAGAACTCTCCTCTCTTCTCTCCATACAGGGGAGAAAAAACAAAACAAAAAACTATCTGGGTCAACATGACTACCACAAGAGTACTGCCCTTTTTTTCAAAGTCAAAGCACACAGTATAAAACTCTCTCGCAGGCGGCTATAAAACCTGGTGCTGAGCTTCCAGGACCGGTTTCACCTGACCAGATCTGTTCCTTTTATTGCCTGGAACAGATCCATCAGGKGGGTTTCTGAATTTTATGCATTTTTGCAGAAAATCGCCCGCCAGGGGTTTCTGGCTAGATCCAGGCAGGAGAGCGGGTGCTGGACACATGACAGTGATTCCACCTCACTGGATCTCTTCCTTCCTCTCTTCCTTTTCCTTTGCACCCGGATCTGATGCTCAGAGACAGTGCTAGAGACTCCGGAGTAAATTGAGTACTGTATTGCCCGCCAAAGTGCCTTTTTCGGCCGGTCGTTGGTTAATAGCTCTGCGGGGGCACATCCCAGGAACTTGCAACCACCTCCAGTTTGTAGAGGAGACCGTAGCTTTCCAAAGTCATCTCACTTTCCCAGATGTAAAATGCACTAAGTCGTGCGTAATTTGCTTATAACTCCGCGGGGGAACGTCGTAGAGACTTCATTCAAGTATCAGCTTGTAGGACAGAACCAGAACTTTAAAACCTGACCAGTCCCTCCAGGATCCTATGCTCCTAGCCCGGGGAGGGGGGCTAAAACCACCCCTGGCGGAGGTCTGGCAGTGCGTAATTTTGGAGGTTTCTCGCTTATATCTCCACGGGGGGATGTCGCAGGGACTCCAATCAACTTTCTACTTGTAGGGCAGAGACAAGGCTTTAAAACCCGACCAGCCACGCCGGGATCCGATGCTCCTAACCCGAGGGGGGGGGGCTAAAACCACCCCAGCAGGAGGTCCGACAGTGCGTAATTTGGAGGTTTTTTTGCTTATAGTTCTGCAGGGGAACGTCACAGGACTTCATTCAACTTTCACCTTGTAGAGCAGAGCAGAGCTTTCAAACAAGACCAGCCAACTTGGGATCTGAYGCTCAGAGCCGGCGCTAGAGGCTCTGCAGCAAGGTTGCGCTTCACGGGCACCTAGAAACCAGCTGGCGGGCGACCAGTCGCCCACGAGCGACTGGTTGGGCACCCCTGGTCTACAACTTCATCATTTCTTAACAAAAGATCCTTTTATACTCTGGTATGAAAGGTGGTGGGCAATAAGCATTATCTTAAGGAATACTAGTCATTTTATTGCAGTAAGAAAATATTTTCATGAAAAAAAAACATTGAAAAAAATGTCTGAACACATTTAGTAGGATTAAGCTGTGTGTGATGACAGAGTTAGGCACTGGGTTAACCTGGAACTGAAAGAAGCTTCAAAATGACAAAAACTAAATGWAGAAATCTGTTAGACAGTTCAGCATTCAACATTTCAAAGCCAAGAAAACAAATCTGAAAGGTTCAGTTGAATTGAATCACACAGCTCTGACTGAGAGGTTTCCCTCTGAAAGCGGTGCAAACAGGGTGGGGGCAGTTAGGAGGCTGAAGGACCAATGAGTGAGAGAAAARCTGGACCTGATTGAAAGAAGAGAGAGGGCGTGTGTGAGGGAATATGGACAACAACAGATTATAAAGCWGTTTTTTTCTGATCACTGTGATGCTTAAAGTAAGAAGGCAGAGACCACCTGGTGAAGACTGGACTCACTGAGCAGCAGGACATTAAGACAAACCTTTTATAAACATCTGGCTACTAATCTCTCTGCTGGACATAAAACATCTTTTTTTTAAGACAATAATCTGCCTCCTGAACAAATTAATCTGCTTACAGGGGATTAATTTTCATTTTATTCATTCGTTTCATTTTTTTAATCAAAATCCTCCCCATTTGAAACTCCCTTTGTTTTCTGTARTTCAACGTATATTTTATTTTTTTCTACTGGATTTTCCCATCATCTGCTCACTGTAAAGATGTGGTCATGTATAAAGAACTTCTTCACCTATGAAACCACTAAATCTGTGGTTGTGAAGAGCTGGACAATTGGGATTATCAACCGGATTGTCCAACTTATCATCATTTCTTACTTCATTGGGTAAGTGAAGCATTCAGCTTTTTTATTTTTACATCAGTTGACCATGTTCGTGATGGYTTAAGTGTTATATTATGTAGCAGAGTCAGTTTATTACAGCTTGAACATCCTGGTCAATACAAATCCATTAGTTGTGGTTTCAGCTCAGCTGTGGTCACACAGAACCTCTCAGGGAGCTCTAACCCTTTAACAAAGCTGGACTCCAAACCTCTACAGGTGTAGGATTCTTAAAAAGTAATCAGCTTTAGGCAACTTCATTAAACAATAATTCACATGACTATACAAATATTTGAACAATAGTGAGAATTTCCTTTAAATGGAAACAAAGTTGTAAAATCATCTAAATAAATCCAATAATGATATTTATGTCCAACCCAATTCTAAAAAAGTTGTGATGTCACTTTGTCATGATCCTGGTGTCTGTTTTTTTTTCTGATTAGTTTTTTGTTTTCTTTGTGTTCAGTTGTTTCCTGCCATCCTCAGGCTCTTYCTTGCAGTCGGTATTTTTCCAGAATCAGCGTTCACTTCTTGGTTCTGCTCCACCCGTTTAAACCTGATCCTTGTTTTCCAGTAAGATGTCTTCAGGGTTTTTTTTTTCTTTTTTTATTATTCAGCCCAGTCTACTTTCAGTTTAGGGCTCATCTGCAGTTGAGCATTGTTGTGCTTCATGACATGTTCGGTTCATGTCTTCCTGTGTTTACAACTCAGCTATTTGTTTATTTTATTTTACTGGCTGACACATCAGTCTTTTGTCTGTTCCAGCGCTGTCTGACAACAGCGGATTATAAAAATTTGACTCTTGGTCACACGTTAGTTAACGCATGGCCACAAGATAATTTTGAGCAGCCAAAATAAGTGTCTCTTTATGAGAGCTACAGCT